TGATGATAATTTAGTTATTTTAATAACTTATTTTGTTGAAAAACAATGCAACTACACAGTGTATTATCAGTTCATTTTATAAATATATTTTCTTATTTATAAATTGCTATCTTCATGTCAAGTGCCTTATCTTTTAATAGTTTAATAAAAGTACAGAAACAACATTAAATAAAAACCAAACTATTATTATTTCTTAAATCAAGGAGTTCAATTGTCTATACAAATTTGATGTACTGGCAATATGATAGCTTCCAACTACTATTGTTTCAAAGAATATGAAACGTTTGTACTTAATTAGTCGAGTGTAATTTGAAATACGTCTAAATATGTATAAGTTTTACAATGCTTGGCTGTGTGATTCTTGCTCCAGAGTATTTGGATCTTGTGCAAATGAGTGAGGTTTGAATTGTTCTGCAGATATACGGGTAATAAATATTCCTACACCTTCTATTAAAGCCAATAACACTCCTCCAATTATAGCACTACCAGCCATAGCTGGTAAACCATTTCTTGCTGCTAGTATTCCACCAGTAGCAGCTCCACTGATAATAGAGTTCCACGGATCTTCCTTTTTCCTAAGGTGAACCAATGTGCAATCTATCGTGGAAAACATACCACCCCATAATGCAAAATTTCCAGCAATAATTGGGGACCTTTGTTTAATAGCCATTAAACTTCCTAGAAGTCTTTTGTTGATTCCACTAGGTGCATTACGAAAACCCTTAACACTTTGAAATACTGCACCACCAATGGCACCCATTGTAAATGCACCACCACAGTCGTCTATTATACGCCAAGGGCAAGGTTCTCTTGCATATTCTTCCATTCCTTAATTGTTATTCTATAAAAGAGATGTTTGATTTTGACACGTTTTTATTAACCGTAGTGTAATTATTTTATTATTGTTTTGTACAATGTTAAGAAATTTATGTTTATATGTACATAACAATGTTATTTTTAAGGTAATTGGGACTAATTAATCATTTATAGAAACTACACATATACACAGGATCTATAAATACGTTAAACTTTTTTATTTAATATAATATATGATGAAGAGGCCTTAGGAAAGTAACCTGTAACACTTGAATTTTTAAAACAATAGGCTGATAGTAATAGTGTTTCAGATCTTTTTTCTAATTTACCTTAACACTGCAAATATGTTACGTAAATATAAAACAGTCTCCTATATCTACATAGCTCATAGGAAAAGATATATGAAAAATAATGTATACTGCAAGTGAGGTTATGTCATTGGTTCTCGTGTGCACTCAATTAACATGCACATAACATTTCAAGGAATTGTAACACGTTTATTAAGTATCTTATTTTAATTATGAAAAACAAACTTTTTTACGTATTTACCATAAAATTTGTTTCAAACAGTTCTACTGCCGAGGTACTGATGCCTCGAGCACGACACTGTGGTGGATGTAACTACGTTAATCAACCATCTTACAAATAAATCTTTTTACGATTCTACAAAAGCAACGAAATGTTGAACAATTTAATACGTCAAATAATTTTTTAAAAACAATTCAAATATTTTTTACGATTATTTCGCCGAATCATTTTCCCCTAATACTTTACATGATTACGTTTGAATTCATTTGTACGTACGATACCTCAATTCCGACCCACATTGTGAAATTTCAAAAGGAGAAACTAACGTAAATACGAATACATTCATCGTACAAACGTATCCTTTTTTCCATGAACAATCATACGATCAATGACATTCTTATTATTCCAAGTAGTGATCAATGAAAATTTCTCTGTCAAATACTCAATTTAAATGCGATACGACTAGCAGTTTGTTGGACGTTAGACTGGCTCGCATTTACAATAGTTTAAAATAGAATCAGCCGTGAATGTCCAAAAATACATCATACTTTTCGTTAGTCCTGGATATCCAGTCGTTTCGTGTGACAGGGAATTTCTTATTCGAAAGAAACATCATTATTTAACACGTGTGCCATTGTTCTCAAAACTTCCGGTAATTTGACAATTATAATTGCATAGTAAAATCTACAATTTGGTATCCACGAGCTAGTAGATACTATGGTATCGAATATAAATCAAACATTGTGCGTGAGGTTCAAAAATTTCACTGTCATCCAACAAATTGATAGACATACAAAACATGGCCGTGAAATGATCTCATTCTTGAAAATTCCAATTATTAATTCAACTGGACAACAACGAATACAGTGCAAATGTCTAGAAATCCGCTTTTCCTCTGTTCTATTTCGTATGTGTGTAGCGTATAATAAAGTGACGTTTCTTGCAGATAAAAATGTCAGACAACGAAACTCTTAAACCATCCGCCGATCAAGATTCCCTTCTAACCGAAACGTCCAGTTCTAACCAAGAGGACACCGTAAAAGATATGCCTAAAACCGATACCTGTAATGTAATTGCCTCGAACGAAAATCAAAATGTATCCGTACAAGATGTCGAGTTGGAGGTTTCACGTTGCACAGAAGACGAAACCGTAGAGGTGCCCACGAAGGAAATAACCGTGCCTGTCGTTGAAAATGTACAAATTGTTGGCGAAACCACGAGCGAGTCTGTACAAACAAAGATGGAAAATCATTTGTCCTTTGAAATCATAGAAAACGAGCATTCTGTAGGTGTTCAATATTCATATTATAGATTAGGAAAGATTAAGCTTCGAATAATTTCACGAACAGTTTCTAGACAAACGAAAAAAAAAAAAAATTATACAATTTTTCTCTAGCAAAAAGTTCCGGAAATTCGGCAACAAATTTCCATCGGTGCTGGAGATATCTGTATCGTGAAGCAAGATGAAAGTGTGGATGTTTCAAAATTTGAAAAAGCTACCGATGAAATTGCACCACGAAGTGACAAGTCACCTGCGGAAAATGACAAGAATACGACTGAAAGTGAACCCACGATATCGATACTCAAGAAGGAAGTTCAGGTATGGTATAGTGAATTCTCTGAAAGCACGCCAGGTGTCACCAAAGGGGGTGTAGATCCTCACGACACAGACGAGTTACATACAGGGTAAACTAATCATCTTATGGGACTTTTTTATCACAGACGAGGTGCAAGATAGACCTTGCACCTAATGTATTTTTTTGTGTCGAACGTTCTGAAATACCGATCGTGTAAAAAATTACAGTTTTCGCGGTGAGTTTAGGAATTATATACAATCCAACCATAAAAGATGATAAAGTCGTCAGATGTAAAATATCGTCGTTTATTCAATTTGCATACAAAGATAGAATATATTGGATTGCTTGGGATAGAACAGTTCACGATCTGTGTGACAGCAGTTAGAAAATGCGCATGTGACGAATCATTTACTAATAAACGTTTAATTCCAATTCCAACCATTACTAATGTTCTAATCTTACTCTATGCTGAATCGGTAACGTTGGTAGCAACACGAAAATGGTAAGGGTCTTCTCAGCCCCAAAAGCCCCGGACAAAAAATTTCCATAAGATGCTAAGTCTATCCTATACTCAAGTACTTATCGTCCGTGATACTAAAAAAATATTAAGGTCAAACCTTTATTTCTAACATGTGAATGTCAAGTGTTACCGAAGACTGTTTCGTAAAGTCGTTCAATTTTTTCCTTCGAAAGATCACTGAAAAATGAAGTTTATCGCGAACGACTGGAATTGATAGTCGATGAAAATTTGAGACACCATTTGAAATAACACTTATTTCACTTGTTAGCGCCAGCATAATTTTTTAAGAGTTGTCGAAGGCAACAGACCCATCGCTGTTTTGCTTTCGTAGAATTTACGACAGGTACTTGACCTGCGTGTGGCCAGAGAGAATGTTTACGTTAGGAGACAAGCCAGACAACCAACGATTGCTAACGACTCGAAGTTCACGTAGCTATCGGGTGTCATGGGGCTGGTTGTTTAGAAGAAGACAGAGAAAAGTTTATATAGGAATGGCAAGCAGCCGGATGTTGCGTTGCTTTAAAACTATTTAGGGACATTGTTCGCAAAGGATCTGGCCATGGAGTGGGGGAGACGATGGTCTTCTGGTAAGAGGACTGTGAACGCCCTCACGGCACTTATCCTAGAACCTCAAAACAGTGAGATAGATAAATTGTCCATCTCGCATGTTATAATTTTATATTGACTATCATTAATAGATCGCCGTTCGCTTTTTTATAAGCATATTTTTAACACATTGTAGTATCGGGGCCTCGATACCGAAAATGGAAACCGACTATTAAAATTATAGAGGGAGTTGTTGGCGTAGTGCGCAAAGCCTCGGCGTGCCAATCCGAAGGTCCCGAGTTCGATTCCCAGTTTTTGGGTCCTCGGTTCCCTACAATATCGAATTATATTATAAAATCGGATAGATCTTCTTAAACCATTAGTTAAAAACACTTCTTCCTTGAATCTTTTAACGGAATCTATATAAAATGAGAGTCTTTGAAAATGTGTGTTATAAAAAGGTGTTTCATCTTTGTTCTATTGCAGAAAGCGTTGGAGGAACGTGACGCTTATCAGAAGAAATTCGAAATGACAGAGAAAAAGTTGGCCGCGTTGCAATCTTCGTACGATGCTTTAATGAAAGGCGATGGCGATGATGCGATGCTCCGTCGTATGGTGGACCAATTAAAGGGCAAATTAATCCAGACCTCGTTGCAATTAGAAGATCGAATTCGTATTGCTTCGAATCAGGAGAAGCAAATTAGCGCGTTGAACAATCAGGTGGCCTCGTTGAAAGAAGTCGAGTCCCTTACAAGAAGTCTCTTGCAAATTCGAAATATGGAAGTGAAACATTTGCAGGTAATTTCTCGACGAATTGTTTTTTTTTTTTTTTTTTTTATCGTATACAGTTGCGCCCGTTAGAATGGCATAACTTTCTTCAAATTCAACCGAACAACTTGAGCTTCTTTATACTGTCCTAAAGAGTTAACGAGTAGGATATTAATGAGCGCAACTGCATTGAACAGTTTTCAGAGGATACGTGGAAAATGATGAAAGTTTGTTTAACCTTTTCTCTCTCTTATCAATTGGTTGCATGATACAGGTGGAGGTGGACGATATGGAAGTTCGAATCACCGAGGAACGTGAACGGTACAACACGATGATCAATAAAATGGACTCTGCGGTGAAATTGAACGCAGACTTGAAGAAAGAATACGAGACGCAATTATGCCTTTTCCGTGATCTACGAGAAAAATACGAGGAGAAGGTTTCATTATTGTCGGAGGAGAAACGTGCTCTAGAAGCTAATGCACAGTCTGTCCCTAAATAAGAATTTCACTTAAACCTGCTCAATTGTTTTCGTCTTTTTCCTTTTCTAATTATTATAATTTGTATAAAATACAAGTTGTTCAGAAATAGTACTCGACCATATTTTCTTCTCACTTCTTTCCAATTCGTTTCCTTGCTGAAAATGAACGATATATCTTCGATAATTCGATACATTCGGCCGTTTTTTTTTTTTTAATTTTAATAATAACAAGAAGTTTAAATAGAAAAAAGTTGTTTTCGTTGGAATACTTTTATTGCTTCAATTATCATTTATAAGACCAATATTCACATCGGTTTCCGTGGTGTAGTGGTTATCACATCCGCCTAACACGCGGAAGGTCCCCGGTTCGATCCCGGGCGGAAACATTTCTTCTTTTTTTCTTTTTTTTTCTTTGCTGCAGTGTACAAAATGTCTCAACGAACTATCGTAATAAAAACGAAATTTTAAAGAGCTGGAGGAGCGGAACGTGGAGTATTTATCAGTTTCTGAGATATGAGAAAGAGTATCGTTTTGTGGGCGACGGGAGAATAAACATACACGTGATCGCGTTTGAAATGTTTTAATGAAAAAGCTAGACGGAATGTCTCGTAACACCACTGGTCGGTGCTGCTCGTGCAACTTTCGGCGAACCACTGCCCTCGAGTCGGGATTTTGGCTGCCCTCGAAACGGATCTTAAGTGGATGGGCCGCCACAGTTTTAATCGGATAAGAAAAAGGAGTATAAAATATTACAAAGGATACAAGGAAGACAAGGATAGCACTAGAGAAATGAGACAAGGATAGCAATAGTGGCATGTGTTAAACAAGAACAGAAAATTTGCAAAGTGAAACTGACGCCATCTCGTGTTCGGTGACGCGAACTACGACTTTTCAATAGGAACACAGAATATAAACAGAGGTATTAGACAAGGAAAGCACTAGTGTGCGAGAAGGACAGAGAGCAAACGCTTCCTATTGGCTGACGGGCACCCAAGCTCCACCAATCACAGACTAATCAAGTCGGTTGGTTGAAAATTCATTAATAACTCATTAATTACGATGATTTTGTGAACTTTTAGTGTTGAAGAATGAAGAGTGGATCTTCAGCAACTTTCACATATAGTTTTTAGTGCTCTAGACCCTTTCAATAATTAGTTATTAACAATTTTAGCACGGGATGTCGGGAACGATACCGCACACCGACGAGTACCTTTACGGTTTTTCAATAATTTCGTAGCTTATTGCTAAATTGTCATACAACTAACTGTATGCGTCTGAAAGGTAACTCCTTTGGCTACATTCCTATATTATTTTTATTAACATATCTCTTCTGGTTCGATAGTTATTTCACGTTCTTTGGGAGAGTACTTCATCCGTCGCATTCAATCGTACTACATTTTCGTTATTTCACTAGAAACGCGTGATTAATTATGCACTTTTAAATATGGAAAATGTAGAATGGACTCTTATTTATATTCTCCAATAATTTTTGTAGCCGTAAGTGATGTGGTTTACTAGATATTAGCAATTGTTTATAACATTCGGCTATATTCGGGTACGATTAATAGGGACTCTCTCCTTTAATGCTTAATTACTCTTAAACTGAACCGAATATGTTAATAAAAATTATGTGAGAATCTAGACAAAGGAGTTACCTTTCAGACGCGTATAGTTAATTGCATGGGAATTTAGTAGAAAGCTATGAAATAATTTAAAAACCGTAAAGGTGCTTGACTGAATGCGGTATCGTTACCGACATCACGTACTAAAATTGTTAATAACTAATTATTGAAAAGGCCTAATGCATTAAAATTTATATGTGAAAGTTGCTGAAGATCCACTCTTCATTCTTCAACACTAAAAGTTCACAGAATTATCGTAATCGACGAGTTATCAATGATTTTTCCCTGATCGACTTGATTAAGCGCGTGGCAGGTGAAACATGGCGGCCCGCTGGCCAATAGGAAACGTTCTCTCTCTATCCTTCTCGCACACTAGTGCTTTCCTTGTCTAATACCTCTGTTAACATTCTGTGTTCCTATTGAAAAGTTGTAGTTCGCGTCATCAAACACGAGATGGCGTTAGTTTCGTTTTGAAAATTTTCTGTCTTTGTCTATCCCTACTGCTTTCCTTGTCTAACACTCGTCATTACTGTCATCCTTGTCTACCCCTGTTTCTATCCTTGTCTAACTCATTTCTCTAGTGCTATCCTTGTCTTACTCATTTCTGTATTGTTAAATACCTCGACCAGTTATCCTTCGTAAATAGGTCTATCCTGTACCTCGTCTGTGATAATATTAAAATGAAACGTGAATTATGAAACGTCGATATATGAATCTACAGTAGATAACTTATCAGTGAATAAAATAGATAAAGGAAAAACAGTGATCAGCAACCCTGAACTTACGGAAAAACACTGACATGTTACATATTTCGTATAAATATTGCTCAAGCGAGTGCATTCAACATCAGTTCCAACTAGTTCAAAAGACAGTCCACTGAATTAACAATTACCAGTAAAATATACATATACGATTAACTACTTTAAAAAAAGGAGGTATTAACATTACACTATTTCGATATTAACCAGTTTATTGATAAGTAACAAATTATTTCTGTACATATACATATACAAATAATCATGAAACGTTCCGTGATCTTAACAGTCTTGGTTATTGTTGGCCTGGTACTGGTAGTGAATTGGTACTGTGAACATTGCCATAGCTATAGACTTTATGTATGTAAATAAAATTCAGTTATAAATTCGTAATGTACATAAATATATAAGTTTCGCTACTTTTTATTATGTAAAAAATTCAAAAAAAGTCATAAGATAGTGAAGTAATTTAATTGCATTCAGTAATGGATTCAATGATACTAGCGTCTCCATCAGATAACCGAACAGGATGTTAAATTTGATAACCAGTTTATATTTCTTTTTATACATATACATTATCTTTTTTACACATATACATATTATTTTTATACATATGCAATACATATTTATTAATTTTAATATAATTATCAACATTACAAATTGCAGTGTCCACCTTGTCCCTGCGAATGGCGTCTGTACGTAACAGAGGACAGAGGTGCGTAACAGAGGTGAATGCGTAAAGGACACAATAAGGTCAAGCTGGTTTTTTTAAATAGAATCATATATTTTTTAATGCATGAAATAATATAAAATAATAATAAAAAAATGGTAGGCTATTTATACCGAGAAACCATTAATTATATTTAATAAATATTTTCGTTAAATATCGTCGTTATGACCAACCAGAAGATGAACCGGCAAAGTTTAATCCGCCATATCCAGTAAGTATTTATTAAATATTAATTATGGTTCCAATGTTACAAGCTCTTTAAGTAAACAAGTGTTAATACATATATTTCATTTTTCTTTTTGGATTGTGTGTAAACTTCACATTGTGAAGCTCGCTCCAGCGTCCTATTCATTGGAAAACTCGTATAAAACTGTTAATTATTTTTATTAAACATAAAATTCTTTATTATAATTAATGTAACTATTGAATAAAATTGGTTGTGTCACTTTGAAATGTAGCAACGGGTTTTTATTTACTAATCCTTATTTATACGTATTAATATTATCTATATGTATGTACAAAGGAATAGAAGAGTTCTATTGAGTTTTACTCGAGATTCAAATGTGTATGTATAAAGTTTTATTTCAACGAAACAACGATAGGCGCGTCATCTTCGGCTTCTTCTTGTAGATTAGAAAAATCCCATGCGAACTTAGTGGATAATCGTTCACAAAATCTTGACGTGTAAGATTTCAAGCGTCCATCTAATTCAGAATTAGCCTCAATATTTGCAAACAGTTTACGTAGACTGGAATAGATAAAATTATTATTAACAACAATATCGCAAAGTATATCCTCCGGTACGTGAATTAATTGGATCTCTAATGTTTTCATAAATTCGATATATATAGCGCGACGTTGCGATATTGCACAATCAGCACCACAGATAAGGGACACAAGCTTTTTCCAATGTTCAAATGCATCAAGACTTTGTCCAACCAGGAAACAAATAAATGCTAATTGCACTTCACCAATTATCTCCATAGGGCTAAAAGAAAAAATTATTACACAAAACAGTAGATCAACTTTGAACATATGTAATCCTATACATTTAAGTACCCACACTGTCAATTTATTAAGAAAAGTATCCAATGCATAACTCGAATCCAGGAAATGCTTAGTGACTTCAGTTGGTGATGCTCCATCTGGATAATTTTTGTCGGGTAATTTAGAAAGCCTAAGTTCTGTACCAGGCCTAGGTTTCATATCTGGAAGTAACTCATCTTCCTTTTCTTCCATAGTAATTCCACTCCTCCTTTTTTTTTTTGGATTTGACTCTCCACCTCTTGGTCTTGTGGCATCGCTACAGTGCTCTAATTCTAAAGCAGACCTTACAAAACTGAGACACACAGGTTTATAAACAAAGCAGCAGATGTAAGAACAGCAATTAACAATCTACAAAATTTGTTAAAACATACCCACATATGGGTGAACAGCGTTCAACAAGAGAGGGACTAATATGATTTATTAACTCTTTCCATTGTTTCCATATGTCATAAGGATAACATCCTAGAAATCTGTCCAAATCTTTCAGATTATCCTTCAACCTTTCAACTGTCTCTTCTTCTACAGCTTTATATACAAATTTTACTTTAATATTTTTATTTTATTTTAATACTTTGTCTTAGTAACTTATGCTGTCATACCTTCTGGACTTAGATCTTCTTCTTTTGGATTCCAACGTCTGACTAAAAATTCCGATTTCTCAAACGTATGAAGAAAACCAATTTTAGGTGCTGTTTCTCCAAATTCATCTATAGCACTTTAAAACCATCAATATGAAAACACAGTATTATTAGTAAAAACAATACAAACGTAATAAACCTACCTGTAATGTACATAATGAAATCCTGGTGGAATCATTTTGATACCTTTAAAGTTATCTCCCGTGTTCCAGGATTTTAAATCGATTCCAAATTCTGTATCACTAGGTACATTTAACACAACTAACGTAGCACCTTCAACTAGAAGCCTTTGCGCTAATGTTTGATCCATTTCAATTCCTTCACTCGCCATGATTGATTCATAAAATTAACACGTCTGATAAATTGTATTATCATTCACATACTTTAGAAATTACTGTACGTTCACTTAGAATTATTCCAATATGAAATAACAGGTTAGGGATACTGACTGTATTAATACAAGAATATTTAATTACTACAATGATGTAGCAATGAAAGACATTAAAGAAATATTTGTATTACATTAAAATAGAATTTTATCGATATATCAATTGAAAAGTATTGTACAAACATTCAACTGACAAACTCACATTTGCAAACGCATAGTATACTCGTAACTACACATTATATTGTACACTTTACCCTCCATTTACCTAGTAATTTTTTCTTGAAGCAAATCCAGGGTCCCTAACTGGAACTGTAAACATCAAAGGAACGCCGTACAAACGTGTTTTTGTCGGCGTTCAAAAATATAAACAATTTTAAAATAAGTAATATTATTTGTCATTTTAGTCAATATGGATAATAATATTCCTGATTTTAATGTAAATAAAACGGTTCAAGTAAGTATTTTATCCGGAGAGGTTTTTTTCTTTGAATCTAATTTAATAATGTCGTACATTTAGGTTAGTTGAGGTTATGTTACCTGCAACTGTAATAATACTGTTTAATCAAACTACAATAAAGTATGCTTCCATTTCAGCGCTACTATTCCTAAGATAATTTATTATTGCTTCATTTCTACATTTTTTTCTTTAACATTTTTAACTGTTAGTGCCTTTTGTTTTATTGCAGGATGATGTTTCTAATTTAGACAAGTTAACACAATCATATTTGTCGTTAAAGAAAAGAATTTCTGGTACTCAGTAAGTTGTTTAAAATATACATATATCATATATTTTATTTGAATATTCATCATTTCATGTAACCAATATTAACATATAATCTATTTCCAGTGAAGTAATTAAGCAGTATAATGATAAATTGAAGGAATGTGAACGTTTGAAACAAGATTTAGATGTAGCAAATAAACAAATAAAAACAGTAACATGTAACTATAATTCCACATTAGCAAAGGTTATTAAATTGGAACTTGTAAGTGAACACTGCATGTATATCCAGAAATATTTATTACATAATATCCATTTTCACCTTGGATTTATATTTTTGTTCCAGCAAAGTACAGAATACAAGAAGAATATTGAAACTCTTACCACACAAGTGAATGATTATCAAATAAAGATAGCAGCAGATCAGCAACATATACAACAACTAATATGCAAAATAAAGGATATAGAAGGCAATCAGAATGACAAAATTATGCAGTATGATTTAGAAAAATCCTCACTTCAAGGTATGTTATGTTTGGATAATTCCTGCTACTAAGAACATCTTAACATGCAACTTTATTTTTTGTTACAGTAAAAGTCAAGGAGTTGGAGCAAGAATTAAAGAATGTCAAGAAATCTTACGAAATAAAAATGAAAAAGTTAGAAAAGAGACTACCTGTAGAAAATGAAAATAGTAAGGCAATTAAGTAAAACCAACATTTTGATATATTTCAAAGTACTTTAAATACAATTCTATTTTTATTATAGAACCAAAGATGAGAAGTACCGCAACCAATACAACAACATTGTGTAAAGACGTAATAGTGAAAAAACCGAAAGTCGCAGAAAAATGCACATTAACCGATGAATTTTTTAAAATCAAAGATGATTTATATACTATATTTTGTGCCAAATGCGAAGTTGCTTTAGAACCACCTCCTCTTGAGAAAATATGCAAAATTATGGCTAATTCATGTCCGAAACTAATCGAAAAAATTTCATCTCCATCGAAAAAATCTTCATATCCGCTACAAGTATCAACTGGTAAGATATTAAATCAGCCACAAAAGCTTTTTTTATAAAATACATATTTTACCAATATTATGTATTTTCAGATGTAAACAATGAACAATGTAAAACTGAATGTTTACCAACGCTATCAGACACTCCTCCGCTATTAATACAAAATGAGAACAATCACGCGAATTTTATGCCTACAAATCTGTTACCTCCCCACACAATTTCGTTAAATCGTACAGACTATTGCAACACCTTTCCCCCAGAATCCAATCTTATGAATCCTAGTAACTATTACATTAGATCAGCACCGATAAATTCCTTAGAACTGGCAAATACGAGTGCAGCTAATCAAAACAATCATTGCGAAAGCATAGCAACGACGATGGCGTCTTCATTGTCGATTATCTCTTCTATGCAAAAAAGAATTGACATGTTGAAAACGAAGATAAAAAAGAAATTAAACAAAAGAAAGTCTGATGAGAATAATAGTTGTTGTCAACATCATCGTCCAAATGTTTGCTGTGGGTACGGTATGAACAACTCCATGCAATTTAATTTCATGGAATTGTGGAAAGGAATGGCGGATTTTTACGAGAATAAGCAGAAGAAAAATTTTAACATGCGTGAAAAATCCAGGAAACACGAGTTATCTCGATTAAGATTTAAGAAAAGATTACAAAATACGCACATCGACTCTTGGAAAGTTGAGACTGTTACAAAGAGGGTGGATCATAGTCCTAGGAAAAAGCCTAAGAAGCGAAAGTATTGGTACTCAGAGTTATATAACAAATCTAACACCTCGTTAAATAACACTGAAGATTTGGAAAAATCAATCAACGACTCTGACGAAGATTCATCCGTTGATACGTTCAATCATACTGGCGTTAATAAAATGGATGTTAATTTGGAATGTAAAAATCCACCACATGTAGAAATGTTTGTTTCAAGTTCAAACCTTAAAAATACAAGTATGAATGAAACTGCAGTTGTGGAACTGGTAAAAGGGTCGATTGAATGCGGTAAGTCAGTAGGAGGTGAAACTGACTCAGGAATATTGTCGGATTCTATTGAATCTGGTAAACTGGTGCAGCTCGAAGCAGATATGGATGCATATTCAGATTTGACAGAACATAAAAATATGACACAAATGGAGTCTTCCATGCGGAGTGAGTCATATGTTAGTGGAGCTATTAAATCAATGAAATCTCCGATAAAACTGGCGTCGCATTTAATGAAATCAAATAAAATAATGGAGAAGAATGTTACATCGGAAATGATAATAGAGTCAGATGAACATAAAAATATGGAGGAAATGTCACAATGTAATGATTTAACGGCTGAAGTTAACATTTGTACCTTTAGCACCCCGAATTCCGCTAAAAAAATAAAAACAAGACAGAACAAAACAGAACTTCAAGAGTTAAAAAAATCCAGCAATAGACAAAAATTGTTGAAAAAGCTGAAAAATTTGAGAAAAAATAGTAAAGTTGTGAATATATGCCAGAAGGTTCCCAATTGTGAAGATATGCAAAATTATGATCACGAAATTATTAATAATTCTCAAGAACAAAAAATTGATAATCCTGAAACTATTACAGAAGATCATTACATACCTAACAAGAAACCTCGTATTGCACATATACCTAAAAGCTCAATGATCGAGGAAAAGAAATCATGGAACAATTCGCTGAAAAAGTGTAACAAACGTATTGTAAAAAGTACAGAGAATACGAATGTTCAAAAAGACTCTGTTAATTTAAGTAAACCAAAGGAAAGTATTATCGAATTAGAAACAGCGTATAGCAACAGGATAGAGGAACCTAAAGCAATGTTTTTGGACACAGTATATTCTGCCATTGAAGATGTAGAGGAGAGTGTTGATGAGATATTATCAATATCTGAAATTAAGGAATCGTTGAATGAGTTAGAAAATAAAAGTTTATTGGACATGGACATAAATAATTACGATCATTCTTACAGTAAATCCAATATTAATCATTCTTTAGAAGAAGCAACGGAACTAAATGAAACAAAGACTGAATTAAATATTGAACACAAAACAATTGAGCAAGAACATGAGATTAATTTTTTAGCTGTAAAGAAAATCGACGAAACAGACAACAGGATTCAAGAGGAATTAAATCCAGAAGACAGCAAGCATTCTATTGATACTCCAGAAACAAATGACATAAGCGACACAGTCTTAAAAACTGAAGATTTAACCATGAATGCCTGTATTAAGGAAGAAATTTGTAATAAAGAAGACAGATTGATATCACATTGCCTGCTGATGAGATTGCAGCAATATGTAAAGAAGAATGAGTGTCCAAATAGAAATTGTAAAAGTCAGCATAAGCAACTTTCGCATGCTCGATTAGTAGCAGGTAAGGTCTTCACTTTTTAGAGATTGATTGAAAATAAAATATAAAATTCGTTAAAAAAAATATTTGTCTCAGATAAATTTGTAAAGAAACAATTGCAAAGGCTAATAAACAGCGAGTGGGAGGCCTCTACACATTGGAATGTAATAGAACAATTAAAATCTACATGTACTGCTCGTATCATAGCGAAGTTAGTACTATATCAAATTTATGATAAATTTGTTGCAAGTTAAGATGAATAATTATAATGATTATTAACATATTACATTGAATTTCAGAGGAATTGTAGAGTTCTTAAGCACAGAGGAAGAATATAACAGAAATTTAGATAAAAGTCACACGCCGCCTGCGCCGTTAATGACAAAAGCACAGCAAAGAATAGCAGCGCTACTAGTTGACTTGGAAGGATCAAAGCCCACTGTGTTTCAATTAGTTCAGGCTGGAATCGAGTACAGACTCTTTAGACTTAATCAGACAATAGAGGTTTAATTTCTGCACTATTTTAATCCATCATGCACAATTAATCGATAATGATTAACGTTCGTTATTTTTTCATCTTTAGAAGCATATTATAGACTCCCTTGCTAGGATGTACACAGTTCTAGCACGAATTAGTAAAGACCGTGAAAAAGTAAGGATATTTTGTTGCGATGCTTTGTATTGTCTGGGACTAAATGCAATAATAATTTTATACACAGTATTCACTTGTTGGCCAGAAGTATTTCCAAGTAACGAAACAGGCAACAGTACGTATAATTTACACTACAAATTGAAAGATAATGTCAAATTGGACACCACCTCTATTATTTACAGAATTATTACCAAAATGCATGGCACATCTAATAATGGCACAGCAAGCTACTACAGAATTCCCCAAACTCTTTGCTCTAAAGAATCTGGTGTCAGTATTCTATAAATATCAAACGGGCACGTTATCTGCAGATGTACTGAAAGAACTTTTAACGGCACTTCAAATTTGTCCTATAGAAAAATCTTATAGCGAAATAGAGACCGCCGTCATACTCCTCGCAAAAAGGGAAGGTACCACGTGGACCTACAAGAATATCATTCGAGGTGCATTACTGCCGATGATAATTAACAACAAACTCCCGAGCACGTATCGAGCGTTCTATCTACTTGGTAAGTTTTAAATTGAATAAAAATGAAAATTCTTCAATTTCTATAATAATGTTTTATAACTACAGGCAATCTCATGCGTGCATTTCCTGTACAAGATAAGAACAATTCGGTTGGTGAAATTGTAGAACAACTATGTGATCTGATTAATTCCGGTGAAGGTATCTTTTTTTGTAATTTGCTTTATTTTTTTTTTTATGTTTGACATTGAAAGTTCAGTTAAACAGATAATCTGTATTTTGTAATTAGGATCGGATGAACAGAAAGAAGGCGTTATCTCGGCACTATTAAGTTTGTCGAGACACAAATTTGACGAGGTGGTGCAAAATACGTTAAAATGGACGTCATCGACACCCCTACATGAACGAACTATAAAACAGTTGGACGGTTTAATCAATTTGCGTCCCATAGAGTTTTGGAAGAGTTATTTGAAAAAGAACAGACTATTCCTGTATACCCAGAAAA